TAAAAGAGAACATAGCCCTTTCATAGAATATGAGTTAGAAATATGGGAACAGTTTGGGGCAAATCTTCATTTTATGGGTGTGAAAAATAAGGTCTTAGAAATGTTATGAGATTTGCCAAAGATTTGCCAAAGATTATCCAATCTTTCTTTCCTCTATTTATTCAACAAATAACTTCTGATCTCCTACTATGTGCAAAGCACTGTGCTGGACGCTATGAGGGATAAATTACACGTGCAAAGTTTCTCTCCATCAAGGACTGTAAAGTCTAGTGAGAGAGATTGTTCTCTCTTCTTCGTCTGCCAGCATCTGTCAGTGTCATCCTACCCAGATTACTCATTCAGAGTCCTTAAGTCTATCATCTTCATCCTGACTGATGCTGAAAACTCAGCCTCTGTGCACCAGTGCTGAATCTAATCTTGGAGACAGAGTTTTGGGTGGAGTAGAAAAGAATAGCTTTATTGCTTGGCCAGGCAAAGGGGGCCACAGTGGGCGCGTGCTCTCAAAACCGTGTGCCCCAACCTGGAGGGATTTGGTGAGGAGGTTTATAGCAGTGGTCCAAGGGCAGAGTTGCTGCTAAGGATCAGGGTGTGTGCAGGGCCTGCACTCCTTTAATCTGGCCTCACATGGTCTCCTAAGGAGCTTCTCTGGTTCCTTTAATCTGGCCTCAGGTGGTCTCCTGATAAGTTTCTCTAGGTTATCAAACTGTGACCTTCTCTGTGGAACATCTTCCCTTTGGTAGGGGTTTTAGCTCTGCAGAAGAGCTGAAAGATATTACATGTATCCCTTGAGAGGGAACCAGGGCCCTGCCCCAAGGCTGCACTATTGTTACTTGACTGTTCCTCCCTTGTCTCCGCATCACATCCCTTCCCTGATTAGCAACTGTTTGAATCTGCCCTTGGGAAATCAGGGAAGCTCATGGAGGCTGGAATCTATTCCCTACAAACAAGAAACAGGGGACACAAAAAGGATTCTGTGCCCAGGAGCCCCGCAGGGTCCTGCTTGGTTTCATGACTGCCATTGCATGAATTTTCACACTTTTCATCTCTCCTGTGGGCTGTTGCTGGAACTGTCTAACTCTTTGGCATGTCTCTGTTCTTAATCTCCTCAAATACATTGTGCAGACTCCAGCCAGACTGATGTGTTTGAAATAAAGATCTGTCTGTCACTCACCTGTTGTGAGTTCCCAAGTTGTGATTGTATAGCCTAAAAAATAAAAGATCCATTAAGGTATCTCATTAATGTTTGATGAGTAAATATGGGGGTAGATCCTGTGGGGCCTTGAACACTATGATCAAGAGTTTGTTCTTAATTCCATTAGCAATGGGAATAGAGTGAAGATTTCCAGAACAAAAAAGGGACAGAATTAGATCTCGATTTTCTTTACTAAACATCTTGAGGGTTGGGATTTTGTTTGTTTCTTGCTCATTATTTTATTCTCAAATAAAAGGTGACTTATGTAAAAGTAGGAACTCATTATACATTTGAATAAACAAAGATATGTTTTAGTGCTGTTTAATCCATCTTTCTGAGATAAGTATTCTGTATCTGTGCTGTACAGTACAGTAGCCACTAGACACACGTGGCTATTGCTCACTTTAAATTAAGAAACTGAGGAATTGAATTTTTAATGCTATTTAATTTTAATTAATTTACATTTAAATTTGAATAGCCACATATGACCAGTAGCTATCATATTGGACAGCCCAGTATTAGAAAGTTATCCAGCAGGGTCCCAGCAGGAAACAGATGGAACACTCAAATTCAGATAACTCAAGAAGAGTTTATTTATAAAGTGACTTTTTCCGAACGTGTGGGCAGCTTTAGGGAACCACATGAGAGAGTGCCGTTAACTGTGATAGTTATATGGGAGCAATGGTGAGGCAGAATTCATGGAAAGACTCATAGTTGAGATTATAAGTCTAGATCACATTGGGACAGTTTTTATAATATTCAATAATAATTTTAATGAGATTTCATTGAATGAAGTCTATACTCAGAACTGTTCTTTTCAGTATAGCCTTTCCTGGCAGTTTATTTACTGATGAAGAATGTGATTGCTTTCCCTATACAGTGCTGATCTGTACCGTGTTTTCTGAGTTTTTTTGCCCCCGCCCTTTACTGTAAGTGGTACCTTTTCCATTAGCAGGGCTATGCTGACCTAATGATGGCTTCTGTTAAGGCTTCCTTTGAGGAGCATCTTCTCTTCTGAGCAAATGTAGGCAGGCTCTGACTGTTATCTGTGGTTATGTTTTAATATCCTGCCCTTTTTGTCCCTTACCTCAGCACACAGAATTCACCTTCAGTCCTAGCTCATTGCTTGATGATTTGTTAAGGCTTTGAAAACAGAAGTAATGAGGGCTTTTAAGCAGGATGGGGCTATTTCTCCTTGCTTTATTTATTTTTATGCCATGCAAAAGTAATAAAAAGGCATAAAATGGCTTGACTGAGCCAAATACATCTGGATAAATAGAGCAAGGACCCAGTAAAACTCTGGGGGTGAAAAAAAAAGAAAGGTGGGGAAGGGAAGTGGAGAGGCAGGGAAGAGAGAAGGGAAAACTATACTTCTTGAAATGATAGTGACTTTCTTTTATTACCTGGAGAACAAAATGTCTTTCACCCAATGAAACCTTTTAAACTAGGGTGAAGCTCTGTGCAGAAATTAGGAAATCATCTGTATAGTCCTTATTTAATCTCTTCATGCTGTCACCCCCTGTCATCCTTTATTAAAGTTTTCTATGCCATTGCTGTTAGCTCTGCGAAGGTTGACATCTTTTAGTTGTTCTGATGAATCACATCACAGAAACTATTGAGTTTTTACGACCAACGCAACAGAAGTCTTTCATATTATTCCTGATGCTTTGTGTGTGTTGGGGGTGGGAAGTGTCTCTTTGTGTGTCCTACTCCTGCCTCCTTTGAACTATCTCTGCTTTTGTGAAGTGGAAAGAGACAACTAAGAGCTACCACTGCCTTAAACTGGAGAATAAGGGATAGATTCTTTAGGTAAGATGAGAACCTGTCTTGCAGCCCGTTGTGTATTGGTGGCAGTCCGAGTAATTGCTACCATTGCTTTATTTCTATGACATTCAGAATTTTATTTCTCTTTCCTATTCCTCCCTTCCTCTTCTCCCCACTTCCTTCGCTAGACACAGTCTCCATCATGCACACATTGCACACTCACTCTCAAAAAGAAAATGTGGTAAAGGACTTAATAGCCTTCTACTATGTTTCCCCTTAGGAGGTATCTAGAGATGCGTGGGGTCAATTTTTGTCTCTCATAGTGCCTGGGCATCGTTATTGGAATTTAGTAGACAGGGGCCCCTGGATGCCACACATCTTGCCGTGTACAGAATGGGCTCAGATGATGGTGACTTTCCAATCATAAATATCATTAATGCTACTGCTGAGAAAAATTAGGTCTAACTGAAGTTTAGGTGGGTACCAACAACCTCAGCTAATAGATGATTTGGCTGTGCCTTGAGCAGATGCTAAAATCTCTTCCAGAATCTAGCAGGTTCTTAGTAAAACTATGTTGTGTTTTGAATCAAGTTGTTCACTTATAAACTAGTCAACACTATTTAATAAGTTCTATACATGTTACTTTCAGGAATAAAAAGAAATTAAGATATACTTGCCAACATCAAGATTTTAACAATATCGTAAAGGTGATGAGCATGTACAGAAACTAAATGAGCATTTTAGGAAATTTTCAAAATGCTATTGGAAAAGGAGAGGTGAGGGTTTACTTTTGAGCAGAGTTGTTGGGGATAACTCTGCGTGGAAACCATTGAGAAACAGGTAGGATTTTAATAGGGAGTTATTTTGGAAGACACTTGCTGTAGTCAAAGGTACATTATATGTTGGAACTTGGGAGAAGAGATAGAAATGTATAGAAATATTGTTACTGTAAAGGATAGTACTTGAGAAGAGGTGGCAGAAGATAGGACTAAAAACATAGATTAGGATAGAGAATAGATGGTCTTGAATTTCTTATAAAGGAGTCTTTCCACTTGAAGGTATGGATTTATGTGTGAGTTTAGCCATTGGGAGTAGTGTATGGCATATGCTGCCTAATGGTCTATACTTTGTTTCAATGTCCCTCTTCATAGAGTCCATGCTATAAACTCCCTCAGGTATCAGCTGCTTAAAACTTGCCTTCCTGATTTTCAAGTTCTCCTCTAAAGAGCTCTTTCAGTTTATTATTTTAAATGGTAGCAATATTCCTGGAGGTGAATCACATAATGATTTTTTTCAATCTCTTTTATATAAGGTATCCCTGAAAAAGTATGATTAGATTCAATTCAGTTGTCTCCCACAAAAGTAATATGTAGAAAATACCAACCAAGGTGACTCTCAGTGTGATTAATAGCTTAAAGATTTAGGTTAAGGATATAACAGGGAGAACTGTTCTGCTTAAAGGTGTTGCACAAATTATCTCAAAGAGCCAAAAACAGCGTCCAGTTTTTACTTGAAACAATTTGTTCTTGGAATATTGTCAGCTAAAATTGTGGTCAACTTTTGCAAATTGTATGAATTTGCACTGCATATTTTATTTAGTGTTAGCAAAGCTCCAATATGGCTCTGCATAACTTACACAATACACCATGAAAATGACTTCAGAAACTCCCACAGAAGTTGACAAATTGGGCATCTAATGCTTTTAAGCTAATTGCATGCTTAGTGGTTAAAGAGTCGACTTGTAAAGAGTGAAGATCAGGGTTTCTTGGAGATAATGCTCTGCCTACTGCCATACTGAATGCAGCCAGCACTATATCATAAATATTACAGAAGCTTAAAGAAGAAAATAATGTGAACTTTAATCAGCATTTGACTTACTCTTAAGTGAAGTACTCATGAATCATATGCAATATCATAGCAGTTTTGAGACCTATTCTTGAATTTTCAAGCTGTTATTTTCAGGAAATTTAGAAAGCAAATTGCTAAGTGATAAAGAGTAATTTGATATCATTGCTTATGCCGCTTTTTTTTTTCTCCCTTGCAGACTGGAAAAAAGGAAAGGAGTAATACCTTGAATATTGCAATAGAAAACATGTGCAAGAAGACGAGAGACCTTCGCAGACAGGTGAGTGAGGAGAGAAACGTGGAGACAAACACCAAGCAAAAGGAACCTTTTTTTCTTCGTTTTAAATTAATTTAGAACACTAAAACAAGAACAATAAATATATACTTTCCACATTTACGTACCTCAGCTGTTTTTGTGGCAAACGTAAAATAGAAGAAAGGGACTTAATATTAGGCAGAGTTACATTCAAATGCTGGCCCTGCCATCATCATCTGTGTGATCTCAGGAACAGATTGCACCTTTCTGAGCCTCTCTGAACCTATAAAATGGAATTAATAATACACGATAGGGCTGAAATGCCTCTGAGTGCCTGGTACATAGTAAATTTTTGGAGAATGTTGGTAAATTGATTCTGTTACATTAAAAACTGAGTTTATTATCCAAATGCTTAGAGCAAACAGCTAGCAATTCAGAGACCCTACCAATTTCCCCTTCTAACTCTTGCCAGGATGCTTCAAAAATTAGTTTCTGTTTAAGTTAAGGTTACTTTTAACCTTAGGTCATCAGGAACATAGGATTAGGATTTCATTAAATAATTTAGAAGTCTAGTGTTATGCCACAAGTTCAAATTGCTTTCCATTCCTTTCCACTATTTAATAACCGGAGTTCTTTTTCATGTACAGCTTTAACTTGGTCACTATTAACACATAAAAGTGGGGCAAAAACTTTTCAACCATGAACTATTAATGCAATAAATTATTGTAGTTTAACGGGAAGATTTAGTAAAATGGTCTGAGCAATCTTTTAATTCAGAAGTAGATTTGGAAGTGGAATAAATAGGGATCCCCAGCCAGGTAGTATTAGCTGTGTAAAAGCACAATTTTGAAGGCTGGGAAAATTCCAATTTCTCAACTTTATGGCCTGAATGGGAATTCTATTTCTACTGTCAGCACTTAAAATCATGGAATGTAAGAGTTGGAAGGAACTTAGCACAACCTGTCTTATAATGCAGATGAGAAAGCAGGTTAGTGTAGTGAGGTGACCCACCTAAGGATGAAGGGGACTGAACCTACATCCAGTCATAACCTACACCCACTTCAGGAACTCTCACCCTCAGGACTGTCCTCCCTGTTAGTTGTATGACTTTCATTCTCTACTGTCTTCAGTATTTCTACCTCATCTGCTCTTCCCAGGACTTGGAAAAGTTGTTACTATGAGCTATTAACAACTGTGTCTTTCATTCTGGTCTCATCCCTCTAGATTCCCTTCAACAAAGTTATGCACAAAGACCTGATGTACATTTATACCCCCAAACCTTTTGGAATAATTATTTTTCTTAAAAAAAAGTTAAAATAAAGCAATCCTTTGTGTGTAGGATTACGAGATTTAGCAAATCAAAGTACAGGATGACCAGTTAAATTTGAATTTCAGATTAACAGCAAACAAATATTGCATGGGAACATAATTATGTATAAAAAATAGTTGCGTTGATCTGAAATTCAAATTTAACCAAGAATCTTGTATTTCATCTTGCAATCCTACTCTGATTTCCACCTCACATCATCAGTGAGACAGAGAAACAGCAAGGGGGTTACTAATACTTTTCTTCGTAGTAAGAGGATGTTTCTAGCTCCTAGAGAACTACTGTGTTCCAGAGTTATGAAAATTCCCTGTGGTTTCACAGGTCACATCTTCATTTTTTTGGTTAAGTATTGCTGCTTAACAAACCACTATAAACAATAGCAACCATTCTGCTGTTTCATGATTCCATGGGTTGGCTGGGGTGCGGGTGGGGCTGTTAGGGAGTCCATTTCTGTAGTATTTTCACTTGTGGTCTTGTAGGTAGTGGTAGTTCAAATGGTGTCTGGGTTCAGGGCTTAGTATTTGAGGCCTTAGTTCTTCTTTTTCTCTCTCTCCACGTGGTGTCTAATCCCCTAAGGCCCCCATTCATGTGGCTTTTCTCTCTGTCAGGGGAGCCTGGATTTCTTACATGTTGGTTCAAGGCTCCAAGAAAGGAGAGATGGAAGTTGACAGGCTTTCTTAGTGCCTGAGCTCCAAAGTCACTGGGATGCTTTTGCCTCTGCATTCTATAGATCAGAATACTACAAACCCTGCTCCAGGTCAACAGGAGGAAGTAAAAGCACTGTCTCTTATGGGAAAAGTGGCATGTGTATATGGGAAGATGGGATTGTTAGGAGCTGTCTTTGGAGACATCCATGGTCTTCAGTGTGAGTTGAGGTATTTGCTCTAATTTCTTCTCAGTATCCTCACTTGCCTTCCCAAGAACTTAATTTTCCATCCTGATGTTTATGCTTGTGGCAGTAATACAAACTAGTTTAAACAACATGAGTCATCTCCACCTCTTCTTGCAAAATTTATTAAGCAGTCTGTTTTAAGCATCCTCTATATACTGTACTTTTCACAGAGGAAGGAGCAAGTCCCTATCCTTAAAATGTTTTTCATTGGAATATTTAATGTTCTTTTCTTGTTATAGATCTGTGTTTGTTTGTTTTTAGTGGGAAAAAAACAAGCAAACAAAGCCTGTCTCCCTACTCATTCATCTTAATTCCTTTGCTTAGCCATGGCCTGTCCATTGGCAGCACAGAAACATTTTATCTCAGAGAATCAATGGACTTCATCTGTGAGGAATGAGATAGATTTCTTAAACATAGCTGGGAAGAAGCAAATTATACATTTTGGGGTAATAACATGAATGTCCTATAGGTGATTTACTGTTTTTTTGTTTCAAATAAATAATTTGTCTTTTCTTGCTCTGTGATTTCATTGCTTGTTGCACTAGAGAGCAAAGACAAAAGTCCTTGGCATTGTGTTTCAGAATTTCTATAATTTGGCACCAACTTAATCCTCATAATTTTTCTTTTTTTTTTACTTTTGCTATACACTTTATTTTTTTAATTTTAGTTTTTTAACATCTTTATTGGATATAATTGCTTTACGATGGTGTCTTAGTTTCTGCTTTATAACAAAGTGAATCAGTTACGCATATACATATATCCCCATATCTCCTCCCTCTCGCATCTCCCTCCCACCGTCCCTATCCCACCCCTCTAGGTGGTCACAAAGCACAGAGCTGATATCCCTGTGCTATGTGGCTGCTTCCCACTAGCTATCTGTTTTACATTTGGTAGTATATATAAGTCCATGCCACTCTCTCAGTTCGTCCCAGCTTACCCTTCCCCCTCCCCGTGTCCTCAAGTCCATTCTCTACGTCTGAATCTTTATTCCTGTTCTACCTCTAGGTTCTTCAGAACCATTTTTTTTTTTTTTAGATTCCATATATATGTGTTAGCATACGGTATTTGTTTTTCTCTTTCTGACTTACTTCACTCTGTATGACAGGTTCTGGGTCCCTCCACCTCACTACAAATAACTCAATTTTGTTTCTTTTTATGGCTGAGTTATATTCCATTGTATATATGTGCCACATCTTCTTTATCCATTCATTTGATGATGGACATTTAGGTTGCTTCCACGTCCTGGCTGTTGTAAATACAGCTGCAGTGAGCATTGCGGTACATGACACTTTTTGAATTATGGTTTTCTCAGGGTATATGCCCAGTAGTGGGATTGCTAGGTCATATGGTAGTTCTATTTGTAGTTTTATAAGGAACCTACATACTGTTCTCCATAGTGGCTATATCAATTTACATTCCCACCAACAGTGCAAGAGGATTCCCTTTTCTCCACACCCTCTCCAGCATTTATTGTTTGTAGATTTTTTATGATGGCCATTCTGACTGGTGTGAGGTGATACCTCATTGTTGTTTTGATTTGCATTTCTCTAATGATTAGTGATGTTGAGCATCCTTTCATGTGTTTGTTGGCAATCTGTATATCTTCTTTGGAGAAATGTCTATTTAGGTCTTCTGCCCATTTTTGGATTGGGTTTTTTTTTTTTTTTAATATTGAGCTGCATGAACTGCTTGTAAATTTTGAAGATTAATCCTTTGTCAGTTGCTTCATTTGCAAATGTTTTCTCCCATTCTGAGGGTTGTCTTTTTTATGATTTCCTTTGCTGTGCAAAAGCTTTTAAGTTTCATTAGGTCCCATTTGTTTATATTTGTTTTTATTTCCATTTCTCTGGGAGGTGGGTCAAAAAGGATCTTGCTGTGATTTATGTCGTAGAGAGTGCTGCCTATGTTTTCCTCTAAGAGTTTTATAGTGTCTGGCCTTACAATTAGGTCTTTAATCCATTTTGAGTTTACTTTTGTGAATGATGTTAGGGAGTGTTCTAATTTCATTCTTTAACATGTAGCTGTCCAGTTTTCCTAGCACCACTTATTGAAGAGGCTGTCTTTTCTCCATTCTTTAGTCTTGCCTCCTTTATCAAAAATAAGGTGACCATATGTGTGTGGGTTTATCTTTGGGCTTCCTATGCTGTTCCATTGATCTGTATTTCTGTTTCTTTGCCAGTACCATACTGTCTTGATTACTGTAGGTTTGTAGTATAGTCTGAAGTTAGGGAGCCTGATTCCTCCAGCTCTGTATTTCTTTCTCAAGATTGCTTTGGCTATTCGGGATCTTCTGTGTTTCAATACAAATTGTGAAATTTTTTGTCCTAGTTCTGTGAAAAATGCCATTGGTAGTTTAATAGGGATTGCATTGAATCTGTAGATTGCTTTGGTAGCATAGTCATTTTCACAATGTTTATTCTTCCAATCCAGGAGCATGGTGTAGCTCTCCATCTGTGTGTATCATCTTTCATTTCTTTCATCAGTGTCTTACAGTTTTCAGCGTACAGGTCTTTTGTCTCCATAGGTAGGTTCATTCCTAGGTATTTTATTCTTTTTGTTGCAAAGGTAAATGGGAGTGTTTCCTTAATTTCTCTTTCAGATTTTTCATCATTAGTGTATAGGAATGCAAGAGATTTCTGTGCATTAATTTTGTATCCTGTTACTTTACCAAATTCATTGATTAGCTCTAGTAGTTTTCTGGTAGCATCTTTAGGATTTTCTGTGTATAGTATCATGTCATCTGCAAACAGTGACAGCTTTACTTTTTCTTTTCCAATTTGGATTCCTTTCGTTTTCTTCTCTGAT